TGGCATTCCAACCTCGACGCTTCCATGCGTCCGAGGAGCCAACCGCTGTAAGGTAGAAATTCTGTGCGGATCTCGTGCCTTAGCATTCTCCTTGCATCGTGCTTTTTCTTCGAGCACGGTTCGTAAGTCGGATGATCTGGGTAATTCTGTCTGTCTCGATCTAGTCTGATGCGAATGAGAAGGCCAGTATGTGCTTCCTTCAGTGTATGATCTTTCAGATTTCGTCCTCTCAGACCTGGAGTGACGAGTTTTGGAAGACCATGATTGAGTATCGCCTGTCCTGAGGCTTCTACTCTCTCCTTGTGAGGGTGTAGTATTCCTACTACGATTTTCTGAGTGGCGAGGGGGCGTCTTGTTTTTGCGCCCCTCTCCTGTCGCCACTTCTGTTTTCTTCACCTGGCGTTTCAAGGCCTCCATGTCCGCCGCCATCCTTCTTATCAATTCATCTTGCTCTTTCACGCGATCTTCCAGAGCTTGAGGGTCAATCCTCCGTCTTTGCCGGTCGGGACTTTGAGAATGGGATTGACGGGGGCTGTGATTCCGTCTTCCCCTAGCATCCCTCCTGGAGGTATGTCGTTGTGGTTCCAAGTCCGCCATGGGAGGGACAGAAGGTAATCCTTCACGCCTTGCGCCCCCTTCTGGAGTTAGTCCGTCGACGGCGGACTGTGGAAATTCTTCAATGTGTGCCATTGAATGTAAAGGGGAGAAGCTTTAATCAAGAGGTTTTGTTCTGTCTGTTCTTCCCACAGACGGCGCCAATCCATACTAGGACCCATATAATTCCATGTTATTTTTAGCTCCCACAAAGGAGTGAGTTTAAAAAACTACCTCAGCCATGCCATAGCCATAGGCACACCTATTTATTGACCAAATCTTATATAAATGGGTTCAAATAATTTAGAGTGTGTGAGCAGTACTTGTCCCCAAAAAAATAAATAAAATCAGTGACCAGTGTAAGAGGAATCAAACAAGAAGGCAAAAGTGTTCTTCTGATGATTTTGCAGTATATATATATATATATATATTCAAATTTGAAAAGAACACAAAATAACCAAATATGATGAGTAGACCATGTTCTAATGGACTAACAAAGACACCCATTATGTGACAAATGCTAAATATTGACGTTTAGTTTTTTTTATGAGAGAGAGAGAGAGAGAGGATGAAAACGTGAGAGCTCTGTTTGTTTTTGTGCTTTTGAGGTGTGTGTTTTGTTTGTTGGTTCTTGGATTTATGTCACCCAAGGTATTAATTGGGATAAACATTCATTTAATAAATGATTGTTTATCAGAAACAATCCATCACTTCTATTTATTATCTTATTAATTTGGAGGTTTCTTCAACATTTTCAATTCCATTGGTTTCAAAGTTCCACCTTGGATCATCACCTAATTAGTAGTTCCCTAAATTGCTAATGTGCCCTATGTTTGTTAGGCGGAAGTTGTTGGAAGTACAAATTTTCCATACAAGTCATACATGCCTGTGTTTGGCAAGTGAGTTTGCAGGTTTTTTTGGTTATTTTAGTCACAAAAAATAAAATAGGCTATTTTAGTCATAACAAACAAAATATCACATCCAACCCATAATCATTACATTATTCTCTCACAAAAAAACTCAAAAAAGTCAAAAAGCTAAAAAAACCCTTCCCAAACCAAGCTTTTAAGCCCAGGCTAAAATAGCTAAAAAAGCCAAAAAGTCAAAAAGTCAACCCACTTCCCAAACCAAGCCATTGGCTAGTTTGGTTTGTGTTTTTATTTTATGTTTTTATATTTTAAAGATACTTGTTGGTGAATGGTTTTTGAAACTATTTTTTAGAAATTTTTTCAGCCAACAATCCACTTTTTTAAGAAATACAAAAAGGTTTATTTTGAAATTTCAAAATTATTTTTTCACACGAATGAAAATAATATGAAAAAATTGGTGTTTTCGAGAACACCAAAAACAAAAACACAATCAAATAAGCAAAATAAGTTTATGTTATAAGAATGTATGTCTCATCCTCTTAGTTGTTTGAAGTTACACTTGATTGGTTATTTTTTGCTTATGTTTTAGGTTTTGATTCTCTTTAATTAAAATTTTAAAACCGAGGGCTATAGCTATCGCCGCATTATAGCTTTAAATTTTTTCTCAATCACTTTTTAATTTAAAATAAAAATTTATTGATGACGATCTTTTACAATTTGAAATAGAAAAAAATTCACCAGGCTACCCCAACCAATTACTATATGTATGCCATGAATCAAATCAATCACTCACTATGAAGCCTTCTTCCTTTTTTTTTTTTTGATTGACAAATGTTAGTTGTTAGTTGTTAGATTAGCACATATGGGAGAAGATCTCCCCACCCTTAGCAAAGCACCTAAATGCATGCACTCTCTTAATTCAACTCCCCTAATGAGAATTGAACTCATGACCTCCTTGGGACGAAACCCTAAGGAAGGTATGAAGCCTTCTTCCTTGTATGGCCTTCCCGAATATCCATAAAATGGAGGATTTAAATTTTTATGTTTTCTTTGTTCTACTCACTCAATTTGTGAGAGTTCTCTATCTTAAACCTTACTCAACAACAACAATATATATCAGACTGTTGTAATATATTCTCATGAAGATAAGGTTATACAAACATGTCTTTCATTATGCGATTAAGGGGTATCGTTTGTTCCTCGGGTTTATATTCTCAAAACGGGCCCAAAGAACCCTACTTAGGAAATGATTTCTAGTCATCAAAATAAAAAATAGGAACAAGTTTTGCACATAAAAACTTCATCTTGAATCTCAAGTAATGATGAAGGAAAAGCCACTAGGCCAATTTAGAGAAATTTGAATAAAGCATTTATATATATATATATAGCACTACTTATATATTAAAGTTTCGTTTGGCATTGGTTATGACAATCAATTTTTTTGTGTTGTGACTTTTTTAACTTGGCTTTTTTAGCCTTGTTTGGTTTTTGTTTTTAAACTTTTTTTACTTTTGTGAGAGAAAAAAATATAAAGATTATAGTTTGGATATGATATTTTGTCTTATTAACTTATATAGTTTATTTTATCTTTTTATATATATATATATTTTTTTTTTAGTTCCAAAATGAAAACCAATTGAGGACTAAATTCTCAAATTGTTTTTTCTTCTTCTGTTGTCTTACCTACTAGCTTTATCTAATGGTAGCTTTATCTAATGCATCAAACACAAGTACAAGAGGACACATCACACTATTTTAACATGTTGTGTATGTAATTATCTCTACCAAACCCTACTTATTGATAAGCATTTACCACTATTGTTTCGATGGTTACACAATTGTTGCCTTTATACCAACATAAGCTAGTGATTGTTGCTATCTTTGTTTACTAATATTTGAATCTTTACCCATTTATAGATTTATTGGGCGAATTACACTAACTGTCCATATAATTTGGAACTTATATCATTTTAGTCCTCACTTTTTAATTGTAGCATATTTGATCATAAATTTTAAATCTTGTTCCAAAAAAGGGCAATTGAAGATACCATTACTCAATTTTAAAGGTAAAATTGTTAATTTGATAAAATATAAACGAATTTGATAAATGTCAAAAAAATATTTTTAAATTTTTAAAAATTATTTCTACCTGCCAAAGATAAAATTATGTAAAATTAATAAATCTTTAACACATTTATTTATTTATTTATTTTACTAAATTAATTTTTATTATATGTTTGGATGATGATCATGTAATGGGTAGTTGTTAGGCTTTTAATGTATAATTGATTAAAAATTAATTTTGTAAAATAAATAAATAAATGTGTAAAAGATTTATCAATTTTACATAATTTTATCTTTGGTGAGTAGAAATAATTTTTAAAAATTCAAAAATATCTTTTTGACATTTATTTTTATCAAATTAACAATTTTGCCCTTGAAATTGGTCAATAGTATCTTCAATTGTCCTTATTTAGAACAAGATTCAAAATTCATGGTCAAATGTGTCACAATTGAAAAGACAGGGATTAAAGTGACACGAGCCCCAATTATAAAGACTGTTAGTGTAATTCACCAAATTCATTTGTTTACCTATAAAAATTAATCAACTTGCATTGTATATTCCCCGTCATTATTTTATAGGTTTAGAAAAAATACAATTCACTATGTTTGTTTCCAATTTTTTAAAAATACGTTTCTTGTTTTTCATATTTTTTTATTTTTACTAAAATTTTCTAATATTTTAAGAATTTTTTTTAATTTTTAGACACACCTAACATGAATACAATTAAAATGTATAATTTTCGTAAAAAAAATCTTTCAAAAATTCACTAAATACCAAAAATTAAAAAAATACGAAAATTCAGGATACTTTTCGTATTTTTGTATATTTATTAATTTTTTAAAATATTTTTTCATAAATATTTTACTTTTTAGATACATTTAAGTAAGATGCATCTAAAAAAGTAAAAAAAAAATACTTAAAATTTTAAAAATATTCACTAAAAACAAAAAACTCAATTTTCAAAAAACTGAAACCAAACACATTGATTAGTGTTTGGCATAATTTCACTAACAACATTTATTAAGGTTAAAATGCCCAAAACTAATGCAAAAGTTGTATATGGACACATAAATAATATATTTTTATATATTTTAGTGTAAAAACAATGAAAGTATTATTTTTTCATCCTTATGACTAATATATTTTTATATATTTTAGGGTAAAAACAATGAAAGTATTATTTTTTTCATCATTGTGACTAACGAACGACCGATGAAAAAATAAATAAAATGTTAGATAAATTAAATTTTAAAATAATATATTGTAATTATATTAAACTTATTTCAAACAGCAATGCTAGGTATCATGAAAAATCTTTCATGAAAATGATCATGAAAAATTTGTGACCTTTAAATTACACTTAGAATAAAGCACCACACACTAATCAAGATAATCTAAGAGTCACAAATCTTTCATGATCATTTTCATGAAAGAATTTTCATAATCCTTAACATTTCTCTATTCCAAACCTCAAGAGAGGCGTTGGTGTAATTTACCCATATTTTATATAATCATTTGATTACAATTTCATATTGCAAAACCAGCCAAGCTGGCTATTTCCCATTCACATGGATACCAAAGAGAGCTCCCAATCACAAGAAGTTCTATTTCAATCCCAAAACCCATGTACCAATCATCCCTCAATGGCTCATGAATCTCAAAACTTCCAAGAAAATGGAGAGAGAAAAATCCTAAATCTTCCCAAAAGAGGTAACAACCATGAGAGAAGGTTCCTTGGAGTGAGACAAAGGCCCTCAGGGAGATGGGTAGCTGAAATCAAAGACTCCTCACAGAAGCTAAGGCTATGGTTGGGGACTTTTGATAGGGCAGAAGAAGCCGCCATGGCTTACGACAGTGCTGCTCGCCTTCTCCGAGGAAGAAATGCAAAGACAAACTTCACATACCATGGAATCATGACTACCCATGAAGAGAATTGCAACTTATTGGGAAAGAATCCAAGGCTGTATCAGCTTCTTCAACATGCCATCATGAAGAACATTTCAAAGCCCTCATCTTTTACCAACAAGTCTGTGGATAGTCCAATATTATGGAGAGGTGATCATAATAGAGGTGGTGGTGTAGAAGATGGTTCAATCAATTTTGATACACTTGTTGAAGAAACCATAGTTTGTTCTTCAAGTTGTGGAGATGGGTTTGGATGTTATGGGTCTCAATCTCAAGACAAAGATAAGATTTGTAGTCTCTCACTTGGTAGTTCTAGGGTTTATTCGTCTGTAATTGTAGCTCCCTCTTTTGGTCAAGGATCCTCTGTTTCCAAATCTCTCAGTTCTCCTGTCTTCAGACACTCATAACCATTAGATTATTGAAAATTTCAAAGAACAATAATCCGAAAACGTGATCTAATGGATGCAGATGTTTTGAGACAAAGGAACAAAAAGATTTGAGAAGATAGCATTTTATACCCTATCTTTTAGTGTTACTAGGAGTCAAGGTGAAAAAGAAGAAGTGGTGTGAAGAGGCTCAACAACTTGATTGATTCTCTTTTCAAGTATGGTTTAGTGTGAGAGAACAATTAGTTTACCTTGTAAAAAATGCTTTCTTTTCTTTTTCTTTTTCTTTTTCTTTTGTTTTTATAGATATATTAACCCCATGTAGCTCAAGAAATTTCTTTCTTCTCAGCTTCTAATATCACCTATGGTGAAGTGCATAGATTTTACTTGGGTTGTCATAAAGCATTTGAAAATATATATTGTTTTCCTTTTTTATCTTTGTAAAATAATTTTCAAAAATTCGAAAAAATATTTCCAAAAAAGAGTTATTTTTAGAAGAAGAAAAAAAATCAAAAAAACAGTTGGCAAAACAAGATGTTAGTGTTTGTTAGAAAATAAAAACAGAAAACAAAAACAAAAACAAAACCAAATAGTTGAGCTCTCAAATTCCTCATTTGTTGTTTTGTGTATAGCCTTCATGGTAATTGTTTTCATTTTTTTATTATTATTGATATTGATTACTGATAAGCTACAACCTAAAATACAAATAAGAAATTATGAAAACCAGTAGTAAATTTGGACATTATTGGACACATCTTAAATCTGATAGTTGGATATGATTAATTTAAAATTTTAGTTACCAGACAACTGTGCATAGCCATATGCTTTGTCATTGGAATCTTGACTTGTCTCTACTTAGTTGCAAAACAACACTCAAATAATTTAAGAAAATGGCTTATGATGCACTATTACTAGCTTATTAGCTAAGCATTTTTTGTTCTTTCTAGTGCGATATTTGGCTTATATTTTAAATAATAAATAAATTACCGGACTGGATTTGGATCTCCAGGCTATGCCAAAATTAGTCCAAACTCAGTTTACTGTATATTGAAATAATGACATTTTGGTTAGCAATAGTATAATAATCATCAAGATTTGATAGCTCTTATTTTAGGATAAATTACATGTACCTCCCTTGAGATTTGTGACAATTAAGAACTTTTCATATGGTTTCAATAATTACACTAACCTCTCTTATTTATGAAAATATTATCAAGATTTCCTCAACCTATTCGTACAAACGGTGTTAATTGGGTGTGAAATGTCCATATTATCCTTTGATTTGCATGTGAGAAGACGCAAATATCCGTAAATCAACTTATTCATTATCAACATGGGTAAATTACACTTACCTCCCATAAGGTTTTGCATATACATTATCAAAGACCCACATATTTTAGCATTATTCAATAAAATTCTTAAATTCCATGCAATATAAAATAAAAATTTTAAATTGTTAAGACATTATTAAAACATTTAATGGGAAAAAAATTAATTTTCATTGATAAAATACTTAAAAATAAACCATCTCTTTAAAATTAATGTTTGATAATATCCTAATAATTTAATATAATACGTATTTCATATACATAAACAACGTAAAATTTATCATTTTAATTAATGCATTTCTTATTGGAATTTTTTTTTAAATTGAAATAAATGAATTTTTTTTTCTTACAATTTGCAATACTTATTTATTCATATGTAAGAAAAATATATATATTATTTTGTCTTTTCTCAATCATATATTATACTCAAATTTTAATTTTTTTCTTTGAGTCATTAAACTTCTAATTGATGCATATTAAAAAAACACAGGTTAATATTTTTTAAATGATTACAAAATTTAAAAAATATATAGAAATATAAAAAAAAAATCTTACAAAGGTTTTTAACAATTAAACCAAACTCATTCATTATCAACATTAATCTAAACCTTAAATGCACTAAATTTAATTTATCTTAATAAATATATATGAAATTATTATTTTTTTTTGATAACTTTTTCAAAATATAAATGTAATTTCTTGACTATATTTTTTTCCACGACAAGTTTTTGAACTTTTATAAACAAAAAATAAAATAAAAATTCGACTATTAGTGAAGATGAGAAATTAATTTTAAGATTTAATTTAATAAAAATATTTAAATGAGATAAATAAAGATGGAGAAATAGATTTTAAGTATCCTACATAACAAATTAATTGAGTATTTTATTATTCTCAAATAATTTCTCCCTCCATTCAGGTAAAGATTAGTTTTAATTTTTGGTGTAAGAAATGATAAATTGTTTGGATTGTTTATTACTCTCAAATGATTTCTTGATCCTTCATTCCTATCAACTAATTTTACTTTATTGTGAGGCGATTACATTTTTTTACTTCTATATTTATTTTTTAATTTTTTTTAATCATGTAAAAAATATTATCCTGCATTTTTTTAAATATGCTTCGACCAAAAAATTAATGACTCAAAATTAAAATTTAAGAATAACATATGATTGAAAAAGATAAAATAATAATTTTTTTACATATGAATAAATAAGTAATGTAAATTCCCGAGAAAAAAATAAATCCATTTATTTCAACTTTGAAAAAAATTTCAAATAATAAATGCATTACTTAAAACTAAAGTTTCCTAGAGTGCTATATTGTGTGATTGAGATTTACTGGCAAGTCACATCAGAAAAATTGATGTGACTTGCCAGTAAATCTCAACCACACAATGTTGCACTCTAAAAAACTTTAGGAAAAAATCACTCTAGAGGATCCTTGCTCCACCCCCTCACCCCCCTTTGCCACGTGGTGGGTAGTGATTGGAGGAGCAGGAAAAAAAAGAAAAAGAAAAAGAAAATGTAACCAATGAGAGAGAGAGGGGGTCAAAGGGGGTGGGGGGAAAATGGGGGATGAATCATTGTTGTTTTATTAAATAATGCTAAAATCTGTATGAGTCTTTGATAATATATATGCAAAACTTTAGGAGAGGTAAGTGAAATTTCTCATTTAAATAGATAAGGTAACTAATCAGCAATTTCGTCATTTTTAGTATTATAACCAATGATATTAGCATGACATCAGCAATATCTTAAATATCTTGATAATAGTTTTAAAAGTATGAGAGGTTAGTGTAATTATTAAAACAACAAAAAAGATTTCTGTAATTATCAAAAATCTCAGAGGAGGTAACCATAATTTACCCCTTATTTTTTCATCGGCCCAAGTTTTTTTTTTTGGTCTCCCAGGGTATCCTCCGCCGACCGCGGAGACTAATCCCTTCGCTGATTGTAGGCACCTCGAAGGGTAGAACAGCTGACCCAGAGATTTAAGGCTGCTTCATGCCCAAGGCGGGAATCAAACCCCTGACACTTGGTTAAGGGAGGAAGAATCCTTACCACTCCACCACACCCCCTAGGTTTCATCGGCCCAAGTTACCTGTTGGGTCATGCAAGATTCAAGTTCACTCCAGTTAATTTTCACTTCATTTGGCACTAGTATATGAGGTAACTTCTTCTTGATTTATTTTTGTTTTTAATAATTTATTTTAAAAATTATATTAAATTATTGTACTTAAATCAGATGACCTTATAACTTTAAAAAATAAAAAATAAAAATTATGTGAGAGTAGTGACTAGTGTTATAAGCCGCTAGGCAGCCGAAAAGTTGCCACACAGAAGTTAGTTGTTGGACTTGAAATTTCAATCAACAAACAAATTTTTATTAAAAAAATAAATAAAGTCATTTTTTAATTCGAAAAGCCTACTAAATTAGTTTGTTTTTGTAATTAATTTTTTATTTATAGGATCATCTAATTTAGACAGATATTTTGGCAAATTTGAAGAAAAAAATAAAAAACAGAACTTGAAAAAACAAAGATAATGCAATTTATCAATAGGGAAACTAACAATCATTAAGAGGTGGGAGAAATATTACCACAATGTGAAAATTTTTGTGGGGTGCAACTTTTGTTGTGTTTTTTTTTTTTTATATGGAAAAGAGTAACACCACTACATTTTTGTAAATAATTTTTAGCAGGAAAAAAAATTAGGATTTAAGTTTTGTAACAAAATAAATTTTTAATTTTATCAATTTTAACACTAATCCTTTTATTTATTTCAATTTAAACTATTTGTCTATTTTCATTAAGTAACACTAACAAAAAAAATAATATTTTGATCACTACACTCAATGTAAATGTACGAAAAATGTTTAAAATGTCATTTTTTTTATGCAGTTTAATGATTAGAATATTTTTTATCCATCATTTTTATTTGATGAAAATAAATAAATAGTTTAAATTGAAAATAAATCAAAATATTAAGATTTAAATTAACAAACTTAAAAATTCGGAATTTATTTTGTTACGGAGTTCAAACCCTATATTTTTTTATTTTTTATTTTGTAACCTTCTCTACTTTTGATCAAATAAACTGATTTGTAATCTCCCTTCTAATAAATTCGAGGATTGAATGATTAATGAATTGTCATACAATAATTTTTTCATTGTGTCCTTCTCAGAAATGGTTTTGGCAGGATTCCACAGAACAATATACATACATGAATAGAACAATTTACAGTACATGTTTGGCCAAAGAAGTTGATATATGTCTATTCAATGGATGAAATATATTTGTTTGAAAAATGCTATAAGTCTTAAATTTTCTACCAAATAAATTATCAAATATCTCACATGGCGTCTACAAAATTACAAACTCACGCCCATGTAAAATATTTGATAATTTATTTAGTAAAAAATTTAATATCTTTAATATTACCCAATTTATTAAGCTCACTCATCCATCTATATCATCAGTTATAAATATACCATTACTATCCCACGTCACATTAGAAGAAAAAAAAAATAAATTAAAACCAAAACATTATATCATAGTAGGTGGAATTCACTGTCAACTTATTAGAATTGACTTTAAAGTTCAAAAATTAAGATTTCAAAATATTTTTCTTGTTATATCTAATCAATACTAGCATTTTTATATATTAGTTTATATAGAGTACTCGTAGGAATTTTATATATTTTATTAATATTTTTATTAACATTCCTCTACCTGATAAGATTGCATTAGTGATAAGTTTGGGTGCACATTCATGATGCCCCAATCCAATCACATGAATCACCATCACATTTATATCAATGCTGTCATTATTGTCATTTTCCTTATTACCATAGCATTATTGGGACACAAAATTATTCACCAGCTAATAATTTTACTACTTTTTATTTTGTTTTGTCTTTAGTGGGTTTAAGAAGAATTGTGTCAATTTTTTAGATCTATCTAGATTAAATATTTCTGAATTTTTTAAACAAAATGAAAATTAACTCACTAAAGAAAAAACTAAACGAAATTTTATCCAACAAAAAAAG